GAATATGTTTGTATATTGACATATGTATGTGCATTCACATTTAAAAAAAGATTTTAGTTTCTTGAGAACACTTCATTTTTCTAAATCACCTTTAGTATTACTGCAAAATTGAGAGGAAGGTACAGAGATTTCCATAAAACCCCTTGCTTCACACATGAATAGCCTCTTCCATTATAAACATTCTCCGCCAGAGAGGTACATTTGTTATTACTGATGAACCTACATTGACACATCATTATCAACCAAAGTCTAAAATTTGTATTAGAATTCATTCTTGGTGTTGTACATTCTATGGTTTTGAACAAATGTATAATGACATGTATCCACCATTTACAGTATCATGCAGAGTAGTTTCACTGTTCTGCAAATCCTTCGGGCCCTGCCTTTTCATCTCTCCTTTCCCCCACTGGCAGCCACTGATCTTTTTACTGTCTCCGTCATTTGGCCTTTGCCAGAATGTGAGATGGTTGAAATCCTACAGTATGTAGCCTTTTCAGATTACTTTCTTTCGCTTAGTCATATGCATTCAAGTTCTCTCCATGTCATTTCATGGCTTGGTAGTTCATTTCTTTTCAGTGCAAAATAATATTCCATTATTGGAATTAATGAAAACAATATTTCATTGTTTTGATGTGTAGTGCAGTTTATTCTTCCATCCACCTTCTGAAGGACATCTTGGTTGTTTCCAAGTTCTGGCAATTACGAATAAAGTTGTTATAAACGTGTATGCCTGTTTTTGTGTATACATAAGTTTACAACTCCTTGGGTAAATACCAGGGAACGTGATTACTGGATCATATGACTAGATTATGTTTAGTGTTGTTAGAAACTACCAACCTGCCTTCCCAAGTATCTGTACCATTTTCCATCCCTCCCAGCAATGAATGAGAGTTTCTGTATTTTTCACATCCCTGCTAGCATTTAGTATTGTAAGTGTTCTGGGTTTTGGCCATTGTAATTCAGTGTTTTAGATTTTGGTATCTTATGATGGGAGAATATTTTCATATCCTTATTTGTCATCTGTATTAAGGTCTTTGGCCCTGTTTAAGATCAGCTTGTTTATTTTCTTATTGTTGAGTTTTTTTTTTAAATTAATTTATTATTATTATTATACTTTAAGTTCTAGGGTACATGTGCATAACGTACAGATTTGTTACATATGTATACTTGTGCCATGTTTGTGTGCTGCCCCATCAATTCGTCAGCACCCATCAACTCGTCATTTACATCAGGTATAACTCCCAATGCAATCCCTCCCC